ACCCACTGCAATACGCCTTCAACGATCATACACAAATGTACATGATTATCTAAATACAATTTGTACCAATAATTTATTTATCTAAGTAAAAAAAAATTAATTATTTTTAAATAAAAAGGGTCTGCTCTGACCTAATAATATTGAATTTTGAGTTAAAACTGTTTACTTTTGATGAGTTACACGTTCGAACCCCACAAAATTCTTTTTGTTCCTCCCCAATTAACCCTATAAATAATTACAAATTATTCAAAAAAAATATCTTTAAATAAATTTTAAATTTAAATTTTATAAATAAAAATACAAAAACCAAAAAAAACTTCCTCTTATAAATATGACCCAATTTAACTTTATATTAATTAAAATCTAATATAATTTTTAAATATCAAAAAATTAATATTAAAAAAAATCTAAAAACGATTTGCAACCACTGATAATATTAAGCTCCACCAGTAGTTTCCTTTCTTTTTTTTTTTAGAAATTGCACCCCACTTTTTTCTTTCAGTGAATTGATGATTAATATTAATTGTTAAACAATGTCACAAATTACGATTGTCTTCACCAAATGCTCGAATCTTCTTTAGGCATTAAATCTGAACAAAATTCTGCAAAATTCATAATAATAAAATTATATTTCAATTCAACGTCCAGAAATCTTTAGAAAATTCCATCTACCATGAGGAAATTTACACATCTGAGACCATACTTCATCGCATTCTATCAACAAAAACTTGTAATTAACTACTAAATCCCTAAAATTCCTGAGATGCAGAGCCGATCTCGCCCTTTCCTTTGCCGGCTTTCTTCGGGAGCAGATTCTGGTGAATATTAGGCAAAACGCCTCCGTTTGCAATGGTCACTCCTCCCAAAAGCTTGCTCAATTCCTCATCGTTCCTCACTGCAAGCTGAATATGCCTCGGAACGATTCTGTTCTTCTTGTTATCCCTCGCCGCATTTCCAGCGAGCTCCAGAACCTAATCACCAAATCGGAATACAAAATCTCAATCAAAAACTCCGGAAAAACACATCAGTACCAAAACTTTAGAAAGAGAGAAATCCGATTTGCGTTACCTCAGCGGCGAGGTATTCAAGGACGGCAGAGAGATAGACAGGGGAACCGGAACCGACTCGCTCAGCGTAACGCCCTTTCTTGAGGAAGCGAGCGACACGGCCAACGGGGAACTGGAGGCCGGACTTCTGAGATCTGGAGACGGATTTGGCCTTGGGCTTGCCTCGTCCTCCCTGAGAGCTCATGGTTGCAAGATGAAGAGAATTTCTGGTGCTATCGAGTATTGAGACTTCGAATAATTTGAAGCAGTGTGAGAGGAGTTGTGTTGGGTTTGGGTTTATATAGAGGGGTTGAGCTGGATGCTGATTGGTTGCCTGGGATTCACACGGATCGCGGATGTGGCGGATGATATTGGGGAGATGAACGGTTGAGATGTAAAGTTATGTTCTTTTGCGTGGGCGGATTGCCATCGTGGCGGGGCGGGATGATGAATTTTGGCGGGAGGGAAGATTTAAAATATGGGATATATAGGGGCAATAAATTTTGTTATTTCTCAAAAAATTTTGGGTCCTTGTGGCCATGTCAGTTCGAATAATTCTTTTAAACCATCTTTTTTAATTGTTTAGAAAAGTAGGATCTTGTTATTTTTTACAAGATATTTGTGTAATTTTATCAAACTTTGTCTTTCTTAGTGTGTAATGGGGAATGCTAAATCTTTTATTTGCACTCTAAATATTTTTTCTCATGGTTAATATTCTAAATTAATTTTTATTTCAATCAATATTTTTTATAATTTGAAATTTATAAAAAATTCAAAAATTAACAGTCGAATTCCCTATTTGTACAAAAAATTAATTGCTCAATCATCTTAATTTTCTTGGTAATTTGAGTTTTTTACAAATTTCAAATTATGAAAGATATTGACTAGAAGAAAAATTAGTTTAGGATGTTGATTGTGAAAAGAAAAAATGTCTAAGGGCAAATAGATAGTTTGGCCACTTGAAAAACCATTTTTTATTATTCTTTTCTTAATCTTTGTTGCATGGGGAGCAAAAATCAATCATGGGATAAAAGGGTTAAAACCCAATATTAGGGCTTTTATCATTGTAGTTAATGTTTTGACTCATCATATTGCAACTTAATTGATAAAGGATTTACTTTTCATCTTATTAATTAAGGTTGAATGCTTTGGCAAGATTATTAATGAGGTGATTCTTCATAAATTTCTTAATACTAGCGTTGATGCCTTGCCCTTTTACCAAATTGAAGAGGAATTAGACTCAAGGTGCACGTAAATTGGTGTAAAAACACCTTAACCTTTAATCTAAAAGAACAATTAATATTTTGTAAGTCAATGCAATTTATATTGCAAAATATTTTTTGGAATATAAATGCAATTTTGACGTAAGTCTATAAAAAAAAGAAAAAGAAAAATGAAGTGTATTCTATCATGTGCAAATTGCAAAATAATAAATAATTAATGGATAGGATAAGTCTCTTAATATTAAAAGTTTATTCCTTCGTAAATAATTAATTATTTTAGTGTCTACGTAGGATGAATTGCAAAACCGCATTATGACAAAGAAAACCTCAAAGTATATTTTTACATCATGAGATGAGTTCATTGGAAATATGCAATTTCATGGAAATAAGTGTGTGGCTTACCTATTTAATTCCTTTATAAGTTAGATGCTTTGTAGTCTAAATTGTATTGTCATTAGATAAAGAGGCCTTGTTCATTATTAGGGATTTCTTTTACTCCAATAAGTAATGTTTTGTAGTATCATTTTAGTTTGGATTACAAAATAATTTTTTATTTTTTTTATAATTTTATACAAAGTACAATCAAAATCTTGTTTTATAATTTGGATTATATCATACCGTAAATAGGGACAATTGGATGGGGGAGGTTTCCAATATTAAGGGGCTCAACCTCCATTCAATTATTAAAATAGTGTAGTCTAATACAATCTAAATTATATTACACATTTTTTTAAATAAAATTATATTTTTATAATATTATTTTTGATATATTAAGAGTTAAGTAATTGTTAAATGAAGGCACCTGGGCCTAGAGGCCACTAGCATTAGCCAGCTTGCTAGGTGCATTCCCCCCTTCCCTGGGCGGATTTCGAACCCGTCTCGTGTCAAAATGTTCAAAAAAAAATAAAAAAGTAATTGTTAAATGAAGAGTTTTAATCTCTAATTTTATCTTAAATCAAAATTTTTGTAGTTAGTGGCACAACTTGGCAGACCTCATCTTAGTCAAAATTG